ATCACTGCGCTTCCCGTACAGTATCTATGCTCACCTGCAAACTGTACACAAAACCACGGGAGGGCGTATACCCGACCTTGTAGCTCTCCGCCAACGCTGTGAAGACATTACGAAGAATTCAACAAAACACTGGTCCAACAAGTGTAAGTTTCGGTCTATTAAGGCGATATTAACGCCTTAGAGTAAGTAAACGCTTAGGTTAAGTCTAAGTATATCAAAATTTAAAAGTAAATAAACGAAAGGAGTCTTTTAGTAAAGTTAGGTATGCCTCGTGAAAACAGCAATACTGTGAGGGATTGTGAGGCTGAGACATTGCCTATATACAATCCTCTCAGTACTGTTTTCGCCGAAGGGATTTTATTTAGAGTTTCGTTGTCGCTCTAATTGAAACTATGGCATGTTTTGTTGGGGCGAATCCGAGAGACTCATAAAATCCTATCGTTAGAAAAAAAAAGGGAAAAAATACTCTTGATGTCCATAGTTATTGCATTAACCAATAACTTGCCACTTATCAAGAATTACCGACTTAGCCTTCATCAGACTGGCACATCTGGTTGGCTGAACGGAGGATAAACTAAGGAACGCTAATAGTCCTTAGAAACCTATGTTCGGTTGAGCCATCTCGCTACCGAAGTATTCATATATAAATAGATTTGGAAGGTTAATATAGTTCTATCAATAGAACTAGACCAAATCTTATATTTGGTATTTTACTGGGGCCTTTTAATGACCTTGTCCAAATATCTGATATGTAAAATGGAAAAGGTATTTAATTAGTAAAAACCGTTAAAAACCATTTAAGAGTTTACGTACTTTTAAGAGTACGTTTTACGTACTATTAAGAGTACTTTTATATTACATGAGTCTAATGTGGAGGCCCGGCTTCTACACAGCCCCCACCCAGCTGTGAGACCCAGGAGAAGCAAGTTGCTCACTCAAGTTGATTATGGGTCAAAAAGCGAGAAAGGAAAACGGGTCGCAAATATTAAGTAGCATAACGTATAGTTAATGTTTCTCAGGCGGAGAAGTTGAGTGTTCTCGGTTACCCTGACTGTCAAAAACGTCTGAAGTTAGCTCAGCAATTGTACCGTCTATAAAGCGTGTACGATAGTATGTATATCCTCCTTTATCCGTTCTCCATATAATATCTTTGAATTCGGAGCGGTCAAGATTGTGCAGTAGAATCATGTCTTCTCGCGAGAATAATCTCAGTAGTCGGAATCCGAATAGTGCCTATATTTAAAGCATTAGAACCGTCGGGGTTATTAACCTCACAGGTTCCACTTTTAGTGTCGGCTACAGAGATTATATATGGTCCTATCCATTTCGATGTTAGTACAATAGCATCGGAATTACGTTGACGGATGTTAACTCTGTCTCCAACCTGATACGCTGCTATCTTTTTGGTAGCATATCATCTATTTTGCCTTTTTAATGAAGCCACATTACGTGTCTCTCGCAAGCAAGGATATACAACGTTGTGTATGCGTTGTACCTTCTCTAACCATGGTAACTCATGGTGATCAGGTGCGTCCTTGTTAAAGGGTATTTGTAACTCACTATATCTGCCACGAAAATAGTGAGCAGGTGTTGTTCCTGTAACCGGATCAACACACTCGTTCATCCGTGTTTGTACCCACTTAAGGTGGTACGGCCAATCATCTGCATCATCCGTTAATACAGCATGCAAGAAGAACTTAAGTCTTCTATGGCGCGTTTCATTAGCGCCTTGTGTTTGCGGTTTATATGGTACACCCCTTTTATGGCACATGCCTGATACGAGTACTAACGAATCCATTATGTCGTCGCAGAGCTACCGTTATCAGTGCACATGATACCTGGCCACCCGTGGTCAGCAAAGACTTGGCAACATAATTCTGCCACGGCATGCGTATTCTTGTCCTTTAAAGGATAGAGCAAGGTATACCGTGACGCCACATCAAAGAAGTGGCATACGTAACGGTCGCCTGTGTGCTCGGACGTAGGCAGGCCAACCAGATCAATGATGACCCTGTGCCATGGAACACCTTCAGTCACACTCTTAAGCGGTGCGAACCCATAGCGCTTAATCTGGTTCAGTTCACAGTCTGTACATGACTGTTATACTCTGTCAACTAAAGTTACCAGCTTAGGGTGCGCGATCCTATTTTGCTTGGCATCTTTAAGTGCGTCTACCACGTTCTGGTGCTTCCGCTTATAGTTCTGCGTCAGCCAAGCAATAATGTTTTTATCATTCTGCTCCTCCAGAATAAAGGTAGGGTGTTGAGAATCCACTTGCGTGGTCTCTAAGACTGTAGTGTTTCCATACTCCCGTGTGCGTTTGATACACCTGACTTATTAAATAGTCGCATTATATGTGTATACGCTTCAGGATTGTCTTTCATTAATCCGTTTAGAAATAAGGTTTGAAAGACCTCGAGCTTGGACTTTATGTTATTAAACAGAGTCCTAGCTAGAAACTGACGCATCTTAGCAGTAGTGTCATTAGTAGATTGTATTTCTTGTGCACAGAATTCAAGTGCTGTGTTGCCTTTGAACTGCTTAACGTTCAATTGGGTAGAGAGTGGAATCTCTGATTATTTGACCTTGTTAAGGAAGGTCTCAGAAGGGGTCCATATTGTTCCAATGGGACCTATACGACATATTATAATATGTCTCCAGGGCGTCTTCTGGACGGCTCTGGCACCCTAATATAGGAAAGTATCTATTTCCCTATCTAAATATATTGGCTCGCATTGTATCATGCTTATTAATTTATTGAGCCATGGATCTTTACTCCATAATGGGCAACACAACGTGATGGTAACTTTATGTATATGAACATAATTTAATAGCTGGGCAATTAACTGCCATGGTGGATTAGCCCACGCATTATGTTTGGAGAGGTCTATTTGAATGGCGTCTCCCGAAGGATGATTTAAAGTCCTGTAAACATATCTATGGTATGTGGCCCAAATATCTTTTGAGCCAGTTCAAACCACCTTGGATTACACTTCCAGTCAGTGGCTAGTATCTCACGTACGGATTTATTAAAGCCATAACCAGGAACTCGTACCATCGATGTGCCTTGTCCTATGTTATATCTGGACGTTTTCTGTCAGCATCTAGCTTCAGAATATAACTCTGAATGGATGTGTTCTCAACTGGTTCAGTTAAAATTGAACTCAGTCCCGGGCTACGCATGTCCTTACTTAACAAAGATGCAGCAAACCATCACACAGCTGGCCAGTCACGACAAGTGTCTAGCTTATGTTGGTGTCGCTGCAGGATCAAATAACTTGTACCTGTAGGGTCAAACGTCTGCATTAAATCAGAGATCCATTGCTGGGGAGCAATATCATTCGTCTCCAGCATGACTGTAAACCCATTAAGCGTACAGGTTAGCGTGTCGAGGTCATGGTTGTTTATAATCTCGACCTGCGTACTGTTGGCATCCCAGTTTGGCTTAAGTCGACTGATCTGTCCTTTGTACTTCTGGTTATCCCTGTGGTCTTGTCCACGTCGGGCCTGAAGTAGCTGGTCGATGCGCTTTTGCTTAATCGCAATCATATTAGCAAAATATGATACATCCTCAGCATGATGCGCATCGTGGGCGATTTCAATTTTATTGGTATAATCGTCGACCGATTTATTAAGTTCAGTCACCTCGTCAGAGTGAAAATCCTCTGCGGATTGATGCAGTGCTGTGCGATCGAAGCGATTAAATTCGACTTCGTTAAAACGTTTACGGGGGTGTTTATTACCCCTTGTAAATTCCATGGTCGAGGCCTTTCGGTGCTCTGTTCCTCGGATAGTGGTTGGTATTATAATCTTGGGTGATTCATGCGCCTGGATAACATACCCAGTCTTAACTGGTTTCCGACGATTGTCATCCCAATTGGGTAAAAGTGGCTGAGTATTTCTACCTGCCTTTGGGTCTATAATACCCTCAAGGACGGGTGACTCACGGAAGGGTATCAGAATAGGCGAGTAGCCTGAAGTTCTGGTGGTAGTACCTCGTAAGGTATAGATACGCTGAGCACATCTGGCTCATATGCCACAGGTGTAGCGCTCGAGTCTTTACGTTCTTCGGGCGTAATTGCCTGTCGACATTCTGTCCATTTCTGTAGGGCTTCTGTAAAGCCCGGAGAAACATGCTCGCGTAAGTGCTGTGTATGTTTTCCTGATCTATACAATCGATCTACATGTTCAACAGTCAAGTCTTTCATAAGAAAACCCCAAACCCTGGACCAAAATGATCTTAAGAAGTTCGGAACTAAATTCAAGAATATTTTTTTTGATTACCGCCAACAATTGTTCCGAGGCCCGTGTTATTTTTAGTTGGCCCTGAGCCCTTTGACCTGGAGAGTGGAGAGTGGAGACAGTGGAGAGGCGGAGTCGCTGGAGTCGCTGGAGAACTGGAGACCTGGACTGATATGTACACAAAAATTGATGCCGCCCTGACGATAGGAGCAATCCAATCTATTTTTTGACCTGCCGATTGTTTGTATTTTTTTAATCTGCTAATGTTTTTATTTAGAGAAATATAGAACACTTTGGTCTGTAGTCTGTATTTACGCAATCGAGTTACTCACGAGTTCGTACTTCGTAGACATTTTGTATTAAATTATAGAAATCAATTCTAGTTGTATTTAAAAAAAATATAGTCAAATATCCGTTTGCAACGAGTATTTATCTCCCATTTCCAATTCATCCGATATATGAAATAAAAACAAAAGAAGTATTTGAAACAGGCATGGAATATTTTAAAACATGTTTTATACTATCAAACTATGTGAAAAAGCAAAATTTGTTTACGATTTAGTTTTCACGTGAGGACCAACCACAGGGCTCGAGTTAAAAACAATTGTTTGTTATAAGCACTGAGCCACTGATTCACCGCAATTAAAATGCAAATCTCTGACACGAAAGCCGAAACCATGACACCAAAAATAAACATAAGTGAGCCGAAAAACGCGAAAATAGTTTCTAAGCACAAATGGTACAGAACAGTCAATAGTCAACAAGCCGCGGTGAGTGTGTATTTATAGACTCATAAATAAATAGTATCAAAGAAATATATATACACTGTAGTGTATTTACTATAGTAGTAGTAAATAGTGTAGAGTCAAAAGATTATTCTGAATCTCGAATCTAAGAGAAAAGCCTTTCATAGTGAGAGTAGTGCCACCCGAGGACGCCGAGACTTGACTTTGAGAGTGCTCCTCGTTTTCACAGTTTTGAAAACTTTTCACACCACACGAAAGGGGTTTTAATTTTTTTCATCTACCGTCGAGAATAAATAGGTGATCATAACAAACCTTGCACATCAGTATCTTAGTATCGATCTCTATATTATATATATCAATATGAAGTTTTCCACTATCTTTGCCGGTGCCATGTTGGCTGCCGTAGCCTCGCTTACAACTGCTGCCGTTGAGGTTGAAGACGGTGTATATGTGCTTGGCGATGACACCTTCGCCGACTTTGTGAAGGAGAACGAGTTTGTTCTTGCCGAATTCTGTAAGTTGCTGTGTTCATTCGCCGTTATTGACAGTCGTCATCGTTAGCGTACGGTATAGCTACTTTAAAGTATAGATACGTACTGGACATTGACGTAAGCTGATCACCCTTCTTTGAGGTCGTTCAAATTCGTGTAATGGGCAGCAGTGTAACATTTCTTCGGCGAAAGTACTTTTCACATGTGCAACCCTCATTGCAAGTGGCATCTCGGCCAAATCATTTTTCGGTAAACTCACTTTGTTCTATCTTTTCACACAATGGTATAGACGCCCCATGGTGTGGCCACTGTAAGTCCCTAGCCCCTGAATACTCGCAGGCGGCGAAGGAGCTTGCTGAGACCAGTGTCAAGCTCGCCAAGGTAGATGCTACCGTGCACACACAGATTGCATCCAAGTACGATGTCAAGGGATACCCTACCCTTAAGTTCTTCCGCTCTGGTAACGTCGGCGAGTACGGAGGTGGTCGCAAGGCTCCCGAGATCGTTAGCTGGTTGACCAAGAAGACTGGACCCGTTGCCGTTACCCTAGAGACCGTTGATGCGCTTAGCACACTACAGGAGGCTAAGGATGTGCTTGTTGTTGGTGTGTTCGATGATGTCGAGAGTGCAGCTGCCAAAGCTTTCCTAGCTGTCGCCGCTGGTTTGGACGATGTGAGCTTCGGCATCACATCTAACGCTGATGTGCGCTCCGAGCTTAAGGTTGAGGGTGATGCCGTTGCATTGCTCAAGCAGTTCGATGAGGGTCGCAACGACTACGAGGGTGACTTCTCTGAGGCTACCCTTAAGGAATTCATCTCTGGAAACAGTCTTCCTATCGTCATGGAGTTCAACGCTGCTAACCAGCCCAAGATCTTCGGAGGTGACATCAAGACCCACATGCTGCTGTTTGTCACTCCCGAGGAGTACAAGGAGAACCTGCAGACCTGCTATGAGGATGCTGCTCGCCAGTTCAAGGGCAAGGTTATCTTCATCACCGTCGACCCCTCTGCCGAGGCCTCTGGGCAGGTTATGAACTACTTCAAGGTTGAGAAGTCCCCTACCGCCATGCGTTTGATCAACATGGACAACGATATGCTGAAGTTTGTGCCCGAGGGTGAGATCACCTGCGAGACGTTCGAGCCTTTCATGCAGAAGTTTGTCGATGGTGAGCTTCAGCCCCACCTTAACTCTGAGGATGTTCCTGAGGACTGGAACGCAGAGCCCGTGAAGGTGCTTGTTGGAAAGAACTTCCACGAGGTTGCCTTTGACGAGAAGAAAGACGTCTTCGTGGAGTTCTGTAAGTGCTTGTGATTGTTGTTGTTTACTTGTTTGTTTTTATCTATTACTTACACCTGGCGAATAGTGTCACAATTGCGAATTGCGTTTTCAGTTCAAAAGCTCGTATATACATTATATACAGTTGTGTCGGTACGACCCGTAGTTAAGTGGATAATATTTCTGTAGCTGCCACGTAGTCAATCAGCAGAAGTTCTGTACAGAGTCATCTGAAACCCGCTTAGATTAGTGACCGTCACTGGTACTTAATACGATGCGCAAGAACTAAGTTTTTTTCACATAGTAACTGTCCGGAAACTCTGGGTCAGTTGTTTTATCGCTTTTGAGGTTTGATAAGTTTTAAGGCACACAGCGAATCTGTTCTCTGGCGTTATCCATTGGTATATCCGTCGATCTACATTTACCACCTATTTTTGGCTGCGCTATCCACTTATGATTTTCATTGTTTTTCCGCTGACTAAAATTCGAATCGTGCTTTGTATCAGCTTGGCCGTTTCTTCGTTGCTAGGCAACAACCGTCTTTCACATGATCGGTCGCGTCCTATTTCTCACCTATCCGCATAACCAGTTGTTACTTAGTGTGGACTGCCAAGACAGTGTAGTCAGTGCAGTCTAAAGTATACTGTAAATCCACACAACCGCTCGTAACCACTCGTACACATTGACTCACCCCAATCTACCTACCACCTACCTACCTACCACATCAGACGCTCCCTGGTGCGGCCACTGCAAGTCTCTGGCCCCCATCTGGGATGAGCTCGCCGAGGGATACGAGTCCAACGACAACGTGGTTATCGCCAAGATGGACTCTACCGCCAATGAAGTCAAGGAGGTGTCTGTCAAGGGCTTCCCCACGCTGAAGTTCTTCCCCGCTGGTTCCAAGGACATTCTCGACTACGAAGGCGCACGCACGCTGGAAGCGCTGAAGGAGTATGTAGATGCCAAGGTCGGAAGTGAGGCTGCTGAGGAGACTCAGGAGGAGGCCGCGGAGGGTCACGAGGAGTTGTAAATGGGGTGCGTATGCGCATAGTATACCGTACGCCTGTGTGTGTGCGAACGCGTGTGTATAGAAGCACTTTGGGTGGGTTGTGTATTCAAAGCCGGTGTTAATTCGCGGCTTTGGGTACGTTGGTCCCGCAAAGGTGTTTGCCGTTGTTGCAAAATATCCTTTTTTTGGAAGTGTTGGCGGTCGCACAAGGACTGCACACGCTCGGATTGGGGAATACTATTGGACCTACCGGTTTCAAACCAAACACCTAAACCGGTACACACCACTTTAAATTAGGATCAAATAATTGACCTTATTTATGATCGAGTGGCATCTCAATCTACAGAGACGTGATGACAGCCAAAGCACACAAGAGAGAGACGGGCTGTGGTTGATGCACTGACCATGGGGCAATATGCGGTTGTGCACCTGCATGCACGCTTGCATGCAGCAGTCAACCAAGCGAGGTCGTGTGGTTCATTCTTAACCTTGGCCGAACGACACGTGTGGAGATATCTCTATGCAGTTACACAAACCAGTTGATTCTGAATAAAGTTGTTTCAAAAGTTACGTCTAAATATCACTTTTATGTAAATACCGAATGCTGATGTAAACTCCTATGTTAAGGGTTTCCGGCTTTCTCCTAAGCCAGACAATGTTTTAAACTCCTAGAATACGGACACGCCCGGCACAACAAACCAACCGACCAATGTATTCAATAAGCGTGTGTAGTGCCCTTCTCTACGTGTTCAGCAACACAGGCACGCTGTACGCCCTTCATCCAACCGCTTGTGGCGATGCATTCGATCCCATCGGTTAAGGACAGGTACAACTTCGAGGTTCAAAAAACCCTAAAACCCTAAAACATTAACCGAGAGTCCAGTGCGCGTTATATGATCTCTTCTTGCACTTAGGCTCTCTCGGTGAAAGGAGTGACAAGAACTTGCTAGTCAGCACTACCCTCACGCTCATGTTTTTATTGATCACTTCGATGCTCCATGCACAAGTAGATGCTGAACCCTTTCGCACACATAACACCCTGCTATCAAACACACTACTGGCATCTGCATCATACTACAAAGGGCTCTGATCCTGCACATAACAGCCATCTCACGAGTATAGCACGCTCGCACTGTTCTAGTCTCCGCATTGGGTTGCCTTCACCGAGTCAGATGTTCATGCTACACACCGATACCGAACTGAGGTGACACAGACTTCATGAATATAAAGCCTAGCAAAACCCTGACTAAGCCCATCTAGCGGTGTATGTGATGTTTGTTAAGTCTATTCGGTGTCTGTTGTCCAGATACTCTGGTAGTAGATTCGAACACACACATATCCGCGACAGTTAACGTAAGCAGTCGGATGTCGGCCGAGGTTTTAAGACCCATTCTTTATGATAAATATCTACTAACATAGTATAGACGTCTGTTTATTTGTGCGCATGTATATATTCTTCCATATGTATTGTACATACGTATAATTGATATATATATACTATGCATACATTC